TGACTTACCATTTTAATCACTTTATTGAAAGGACCATGAGATGTGCTTTCCACTGACGTGCGAAGAGTAAGTGTCTGATAACTTTTTGACCCTCAAGAGGAGGGTTAAACATGGATTTGTTGACTGTTAACAAAGGACTGAACTGTGTTTGATGACCAGTACTTGTGTGATCGTGGAAGACTTTCACAGTGAAATTCTCCATGCAAAACTTATTTGAACAACGTTTATGTGCCTTAAATCATATATGAACTTCATTCTCTATATGAGATTCTGTACGTTGGGAATACAATATAAATAGCACTTGCGCAAACGTCCTGTTTTTGATTATGCCAACTATAAATAGGCCTACCTCGCAGGTGCCTGAGGTGGGTGGCTGATAGCACAGCATGGGCTAAACCATAGTTTTGATTATCTATTCCCTGCACCTAGTCAGTATGCACGCCATCTACCGGAACAGAGTGAGAAGAATGTCCCGGCAGGATAGGTCAAATGTATATTGCGCTCAAAAGTGCAGAAAGAATTACTTTCTTAACTTCAGTTTAACCAATCTTGAGATAAGTAATTGCAGAAATGAATCGTCAAACCTAGCAATGAAAATTTGCCAGTTTTGTACTGTCCTTGGCATAGCTCTCTCCGTCGACGTTACAGTAGTGTGCAATGTCGGGATATGGTGGAGCATGCTGGCTTGTGGGCACTGCAGAGCCCGATGATTGACTGTCAGTCGAAGTTTGTTGATCTTCCCCGACATTGAAAGAAATCTGTACGTTATGCGTGCGTCTGCTTTACTTCTGCCCGCCATCTTCGTCGAAAGTTTGGACGCCGCGTGGGGCGAAATCGGAATGTACATTTCAATCGATGACGTAACTGATACAGTAGCACGCCGCGTGGGTGTTATTTGTTTATACACAATTTAGTCTGAGTGACTCTCTCCCTATCTCTCCTCTCGCCCGCTCTCTCTCTCTCTCTCTCTCTCTCTCTCTCTCTCTCTCTCTCTCTCTCTCTCTCTCTCTCTCGCCCCCCCCTCTCTCTCTCCCACTCTCTCGCTCTCTCTCTGCAATAAAAAAAATGTTTGCTGAAATGATGTGTACGCAACTGCGTATCTGCATATCCGCGCTTAACAAAGGTGTCACTACGCACGACTTAAATGTTACGTTTATAACCGTAGCAACAGACCTCAGATGAGCCCAGACGCTCTGCGGCTGTTGTTTCTTTTACTAGTCCTGTGGACCAATGAACTAAAATGGTTAGTATCTAGCCCTGCTAATATTATAATCATAATGTCATGTAAATGCTACACAGTTTCACTGCATGCACGTTACTGTGCAGAAACTCACAGAAAGGTAGATTTTGTGCACAGTGACATGCGTGCNCGCCCGTAGTCACACATTCTTGTCACAGTGCGCCCGTAGTCACACATTCTTGTCACAGTGTGCCCGTAGTCACACATTCTAGTCATAGTGCGCCCGTAGTCACACATTCTAGTCACAGTGCGCCCGTAGTCACACATTCCAGTCACAGTGTGGATGTAGTTTCAACATTATTCATCTCGCAGATTGATCTCACCCAGATCATCCTGCTTGTATAATGTTTTTGTGTAATGGTGCATATATGCAGATATGATACATATCCCTCTTCTATATCTCTTCCTTTCTCTCTCCTTCCTTGTCTTGCTTTTCTCTCTCTCCCTCCCTCTTTCTCTCTCTCTTTCCCTATCCGTCTCCCTCCCCTGCTCTCTCACTCTCCCTCTCCCTCACTGTCTCCCTCCCCTGCTCTCTCACTCCTTCTCCCTCTTTGTCTCCCTCCCCTGCTCTCTCCCTCTGCCTATCCTGCTCCCTCCCCTGCTCTCTCTCTATAAGTACTCTCTCTCTTTCTATTCGTACTATAGTACTGTATGCTTTCTACTATATGTTCACTGGTGCACATTGCATTGCAGCACGCTGTACTGCGCGAAAGGCAACTATGAGTTCGGCGTGTCGCGCATCATCAAGAGCCTCGAGCCGTACCAGAAGAAGCTCGGCACGGACACGTGGTACTACGCCAAGCGCTGCTTCCTCTCCCTCATTGAGAACATGGCCAAGCACATGATCATGCTGCGCGACCAGGTGGTGCAGGAGTGCCTGCAGTTTCTCGACCACATTGAGAGTAAGTGTAAGCACGCAAGAGTAAGTACGCGCGAGCACGCAAGAGTAAGCGCGCGCGAGCACGCAAGAGTAAGTACACGCGAGCAGGCAAGAGTAAGTACACGCGAGCAGGCAAGAGTAAGTGTACGATGCACTGGAACGGAAATATTAAAAACTATATTATTTTTCATAATTATGTACTGATAGTATATACAATTTTGTAAACAATGTTTTATTATTTATCATACTCGTAATATATATATTTTAGATACTTTAGTCAAAACATCAGCT